TATTATCGTTATTTATTAAGATTCATCCAATGAGGTTCCTCAGTCGAAAACTACAACTATCGGAAATAAGTCATCAATAAAGATACCACCCACAGTAAAGACGAAAGTTCAACCTAATACACCTTATATAGAAAAGGATTTATTGGAGGAGCCAAGTGAAGAAGAAACACCAAGAATTTCTGTTAAGGATATTAAGGCAAATTTCGATCGTAATGCTAATCAATCGCAAAAACCAGTAACTCCAATGAGACCCCCAGTTACTGCACCAAAACCTAAATCATCTAGTTTAAATAATAAAATAGCACCTGTTTTACCTTCACGACAAGTTAAGGATGATACTGTAAATACTTCAAGGCCACCATTACCGCCAAGGAAGCCACCTTCCTCATCTTCCACACTAACAAATGATGATAATAATGATGAAATACTTCAGACACCCTCAATATCTGCGAAATCTGGGCAACTAGTAAGTAAATCGTTTAGTACCAAGTTTATGTTAAATCTTTAATTTTATTAATGATTATGTTAAATATTTAATTTGTACCATTCATAAAAGACAAAGATGTTTGATTCAAAAAAGATTGATCAAGCTCAAAGCCAAGCAAAGAGTACTACGCAAGATGTGGCGGGGCAAGCCGCAAGGCGGGGCATATCACAAGCATTTGCACAAGGCAAAGGTAAGTTTACTTGTATGAAAATATTATTATCTTTATCAAACTATATTTCACCATTAACTATATGAGTATTTAGCTGAATACGGTGAATCAAAATACGGAAAAAAAGTTCCTGATGGATTTTTAAATCGCATAGAAAAACGTGCACAAATAGAGGCAGACAAACAAGCACAAAAAGCTGCAGGAGAAGCTTTTGATGAAAAAGTGACAGAATTACGTAAAGAGAGTGTATCTGACACACAAAAATCGAAATCCAGTAACAACGTTAATAATGGATTTACATTTTCAAAAGCGTCCGATATGGTTTCTAATGCATTAACAAAATCAAATTCTCTGAAACCTTCGATTCCTTCAAGAAAAACCAATAATTCAGAAATTAAAATTCCTCGTAGGCCGGCGCAACATAATAATCCTTTCAAAGGTAATGAATCTAACCTAATCCCTTATATATAAATTAATTGAAGTATTCATAAATGATTTTATAATTGTTATATTTTATTATGAATGTGATTTAATCTAGAACATAATTTATCTCAAGGTATTAAGCCTGATGCTAGAAAACGGTATGAAATTGTTTTCGGAGCAAATAAAGATGATGACGGGTATATTGATGGTGAATATCTTTTTATTCGATTTTAATCATCCGAATTTGAAGATATTGTCTATATCAAGCATTTTTATTTTATTAGGAGCTGTTGTCAAGGAAATATACGTACGAAGTCGGTTGGATAATCAAACTTTACGTAAAATATGGTAAGATACATTTCTTGGTATTTAATTATATGGTGTTTAAGACGAACAAATTCGTAATAAAATTTACTTATTTAAGGGATCTCTTGGACACTGATGGAGATGGACGTTTATCCAAAAACGAATTTTGTGTTGGCATGTTTTTGATTGATGAACGACTAAGAGGAAATCCGGTTCCTGATGAGTTACCTGAGCAATTATTATGCGAATAGAATTAGAGTATTTTAGAATGAATATTTATAAAGGATACCTATTTTGTAATTTCTTTAATTTATATTGTAACTATAGTGGATATTATATAGAACTAATTCGCGTTTAATAATTAATTGAATCAAAAGAAAAAACTAATATTGACTTGATTTATTTAGTCATTGGTATTTTCTTATTTTATTGATTATTCAATGCAACATTCAATTTTTGATACATTACCATTGTTATAACAAATTAACAAATGTATTTATAATTGACTGTAATTTATTACTATGTAGTCCGAATTGCAGAATTTCTTTATTTAATAGTAAATAGTTAAATAGATTTGCCAGGATAGTACACTGTATATAGTCAGAACCATTTAGTCACATTAAATATGGTAATGCTCTATACTATTTAAGAAATTTTGAGAGACGAAAAAATTGTACTATATTTTTTCTATGAACTATAATTTTTGGCGAAGTCAAAATTTTATAGTTCTTTAAGAAAAAAAATGTGAAGAATTCGTTTATATGCTTACAAAAACAAAAATTTAAATTGACATAAGTTACAAAAAAAAAAAAAAAAAAAAACAAAAAAAAAAGGAATAGTATGATTTTTCTTTTTTTCAATCAAGAACGGTTATATTATCAGTTCTAGGTCGTAATACTACCTTTGCTTTAACAAGCACCTTATCATACATATCACTATTATTCACCATAATTGCTACCGCTGGAAATGCACAAAATTCAACATCAGATTCCTCTGAATCCTCATAAGCAAGGTTTTCCATACTCAACCCATCGAAAGCATCACCGCTCTCATAAAAAATAAGTTCTGGAGGTTGTTCTTGAGTGTATATACGAAAGTAAAACAATTTCATAATTTGCTGAACTATATATCTTGCTTTCAACTGTGATCTATCCTTTTTTTCTTTTGATTCTATTGTTCTGTATCCATCCATTAATTCCAAGAGTTTTTTAACAATTCTTTGAATGAGTGGATGATCTGGATTGGTAAATCCCCTATTGCTTAAAGCAGCATAAATTTGTTGACGTATCTTTTTTGGAAGAACGTCATTTCCTGGATTAACTTCTGAAAATTGATTAGTTAAACTAATCAAATCATCTGTTTTTGTTTTTATTCTAAATTCAAGTAATTCATTCTGTATATTTCCAGGTTGATCTATTGAAAAATTTTCAAAATAATTTTTTATTTCTTGATAAATAAAGTCAAATACATGTCTTTGTAAGACAGCAGAAAGAATTGATTTCATTCCTGGGTCATCAGACGTTATTGTACGGTTATATTGTTTAAACAGGTCATTAGCCGCTTGTGCGTGAATTTTTATAGACCCTCCTTTTACCTTGGCGAAATTAAATAATTCATCTTGAAGATGTTTAAATTCTTCAGTTAAACGACAAGGATTATTAGGATCATCGTCTTTCCATATGCAATTCGTAGCATTCCCTAACTCAAGTTGATATTTTGCTGCTTCACTTCTTGAATGTTCTATTTCTTGACGCAAACGTTCTATTTCTTGACGCATGCTTTTTATATCATCTTGTGATGTTTGTGATGTTTTTCCTAAAGATAATTTGTTTGATTGTTTCTTGATCGAAATTTTCAATGATTTGTCTTTTTCACATTTAGCTTCATTGGCCAATTCTTTGTTTTTTGTTTCTAAAACTGTTATCGGTTCTGATTTATTATTTTGTATATTTTGTACATCTTGTATATTCGGGTAGTCATAAACCATAAAATTAATACGGGGCCTAAATTGGTATTTAGAGATATAATCTATATATTGTAAATAAGTATAAGATTGAATCCCAAGAGTACATATCCAACGTAATAAATGTCTTCGTGATGGATCCATTTTAGATAGACGTTCTTGTATGGAATTTGGTAAATTATGTTTGTTTTGAAGGTAATAAATAATATTACCAATCACGTCATATTGCAATTGTGAATTCCTTGATGTTATACTTTGAATATATTGTGCAAAACAATGTCCCATAGTAACATGAGTAACATGTTTACAATTCCAAGATATATTACATATTGCATTTTGAATGATTGATGATTCAAAATAAAACTCCTCAAGTGCACTAAAAAGATCTGGATCATTATTCCATACGACAAGAAATAGACAAATATAATCATCCTCATCCAAACTTTTTATATCTCCAAAAAATTGAAAAACTTCTGAATAATATTGTTGTTTTGAATCTTTAGAATTATGTGGAAATGTTTTATAGAATATATCAGGAAGTGCGTCCATTTTTGTTAAAAAAATCAAAGCCAAAGTTTTTTTTTTTTAAAAAATAACGAAGCAATAAAAAATTTTAATTTTTTTTAAAGACCCTTTATAACGAACCACCTTAAAAAAAAGTTGTTTTTTTTTTTAAGACGCTATAACGAAACACTTTAAAAGACGCTTTTATACAGAATGCTTTAAGGAAAAATTTTAAGATATTGTAACGAAACACCTTCGGGTTACATTTTCATGTCATTGTGGATGTTTATGGTAAATGTGATAAATTCGATTTTAAGTTAACACATTTAAAATATATGTGTATAGTTATTTTATCTAAGAAAATCCATCAAGATTTAGTTCAGGTTTTTTTTTGAAAAAAGGGGATCACTAAATCTGGATAAACTTCTTAGCATACATGGTTATTAATTATATATCAATATATTCAGGATTGGTCAACGGTCAATCTTGACCAGACCAATTTGACCGGTCTGATCCAAGAGATTGGTCAAATTGTAATTAATAAGCCAAATCATTTGATCAATTTGACCAAACCCAGTTTGACTAGAGATCCTTCGACCATTGACAAGTTGGTTAATGATTTGACCAACTCTGAATATACTATAATTTAGTTTAGACTTGATTTATTTACATATATGTATTTACGTAACGAAATCCTAATTACGTATTGTATATCTGATATGATATATTCGTATCGATATCCGCAGAAATTTATACATATAAATACTACGTATCCGT